TTTAATAAAACTATCAAAAGGGAACTTTTAATGCGTCTTTCTTGTCGGATGTACAAAGTTCAACTGAAACACTTCTCTATTCGCGCCGTCTCAGCGTCGGCGAGGTTTGGTCGTCCCAATGGAAAAAAGATGTGTGGGGCACGACCAACCGGTAGATGACGAGGGGCAGCACACATTGCTAATTCTCTTCAGTTTTTATATGTAAATGTTTTCTGATGTTTTCTAATGTAGATGTTTCCTGATGTTAGAATCATACGTTTTTCGGTTGTTTTCGGATGTAAAAAACGTTAGAACTAAACTTTGTTCGGATGTTTTTATATGTAAATGTATTCTGATGTTTTCTAACGTAGATGTTTCCCGATGCTAGAACCAAACGTTTTTTGGATGTTTTCGGATGTACACAACGTTAGAACTAAACGTTGTTCGGATGTTTTCAATTGTACTTTATGTTTGTTGTTCTCTGATGTTTTCAGATGTACAAAACGTTTAAAGTAAACGTTGTTTGAACGTTTTCAAATGTAGATGTTTACTAATGTTTTTAGATGCACAAAACACTAGAATCTTACTTTTCAAATGCTTTCAATTATATTTACAACACATTAGAATTAGAAACATGATCGTGTAAACACTACACAAAATTGTTGTTAGATAACATCAAAAAAATGCGTACATAATAGTCAATGCTGAAGCTCCCGTTTCCCACCAGTCAGTTAACTGACCTTAGCTAACCTAATATCATTGCGGCAACTCTCTATGCGGCAGGGGAACTATGCCATTAGCGTGCTAAGAGTTGTTAGACCACTGACATAGGCGCCTATTCGTGGATGACGAGGCACTTGGTGACATTACAGCGAGCTTGGCGATTGTTATAGCATTTTTGAGTGAACTACCAGACAATCATGACAATGTGATCGCTGCGCCTCCAGATCTCCCTTTAAATCGACCCGATGTGCCAATTTGTCAATAATGCATGACACTTTGGACGGGGTTGCTGGCTTGTTTGATCAAATGTTCGGATATACAAGTGGCAAGCCTTCCCCCTTCACGGATCGCTCCAAAAATTGCTGCTTGTTCCACAGATGATAAAAAATTGCGGAAAGTTTTGGGCTGCCAGTCTTGTACCTTATTGACGAACTGCAAATATATAATAAACAAAATTATTGTGCATGAAAAATATGACAATGGACAATGCTCGAGGAGCACTGGGAGTTTTCGAATGACGCGTGCTTAGGACCATCTTTGGCAGGGTATATGAAAATGGTGTATGGAGGAGAAGAATGAACCACGAACTGGCGTAACTTAAAGGTGGAAGGGTACAATGGGCGGGACACGTTGTAAGAATGCCGGACAACAATATCAATATCAACATCGATGTACTTTCTTCCGGCACTCCTTGATATATGCACGGTAACCGCAGAATACCCAATAATGACGATTTCGGTTAAAATTTCCGTCGCGAAGTTGAGCGCAAGTGGAATGTTTGACGTTTAAGCGTTTGACGTTTAACATGTTTTAGCGAATATTCGGTTCAGTTTACCGAGTTTCTCGGTTTTCACATACCGAATTCGGAAATAGCTGTTTATTAGGGGAGCTACGACGATATTCTTGATTGCTGCCCCGTGAAAATAATATTATACAAATTTTATATATTAGGGTTACAAACATTTTGATTACAATTGGCGTCTTGCAGTGAAACTTTTCCAAGCTTTCGCCTCCTACATTTCGAAGTGAGAACTACTAGAAGGAGGATAGTTTCCAAATTTTCCAAGTAAAACAGACGATTTTTGGGGCAAATCGGTCCATAAAGAAAAACTAATAATTTCCCGTGGAAACTTTTGCCTGAATCGTGTACGAAAACGTGTTTGAAAACTAATTGTTATTATTTCGGTATGGATCGGAGATGTTTTCATGGAAAATAATGCATAACAAGTTTGCACCCACAGCGAGAGGTGCGCAGGAGCAGCTGCATTTTTCGGAAAATTGTGAATATGTGCGATTTCCACTAAGATGAAAGTGGAAATTAAGTGAATTTACTTAGGAAATGTTGTATCATGCTGGTGGTAATGGAGAATCGGTTGTATAGGACGCCAATATTCAATAAATGTTCATTTTGGCCTTTTCTAAGCAAACATATTGATACTCACAATTTTCGACGGAAAACGCAACGGAACTTGCTTTGATCAACACGCACCATACTATAAAATGGTGCTGGATGGTTTTCAAAGTTATAACAATATGAAAAATCATCTTTATTTTGAGTATTTGAGCAATTTACTTCTGTTTACATCATATTTACGATGCAGCATTGATGGAGCCGCGAAATGAAATTAATATATCTTATGAAAGTTCAACTGGAAAAGTCAAAGATGCACATCAGTCTGATCGTAAAAACGTTTTCTTCTTCAATTCGAATGTTATATTGGAAGGATTTTACACAGGCTTGATGAAAATTATGATTTAACGCTAATTTTCACGAATTTTATATGCAGTCTGTCAACATTATCATCATCATGCAGTGGCGACATCTGCGTTGAGCTTTTACGGCAATCTTCCAATATAATTGGTGTAGACGACAAAAACATTTTTTAATTTATTTTCAAAAAGTTCAGTTTAAGTTCTGCCAGAGGCTGCTTAGAATGCTCTTCAATTATGGTACCGGAACTTTCAAGTTCTTATAACGACTTAAAAATGAGGCTGCTTAGAATTCTATAGACCACCTTCAACCAAGCTGCTTAACCCACAAATAGCCTTTGATCAGAACTTTTGGTTACTTGGGTGGGCTGCTTTTTAACTGGGCGTTCGTTAGCTGGGGTCCAGTTTAAAAGCAGTTATGTGCCAAAAATAGACGTCACATTTAGTTTAACATTTCGTTGTCATATTTGGTGAGAGACATTCGAATGGAATGTTGAGTATTGCTTTGAATACATTTGAAATTATTTCCTTTCCAACTGAAATCAAGACTCGAAAGCGTTGGACCTTTCTGAATTCACGAGTTTGAATGATGTCAAAATAACAATAACGAACTTTGCACTGCTTCAATTCTATGCACGTGGATATTTTTTTAACGTCGATCAAACAATCCAATGAAGTTCCCTTCAATATTTTTTGATGTTCCAGTCCAGTTAGCGAGTGTAATCAGCTAACTGGCCTGCGTCTTTAGCCCAGTTTGCGAACAAATACTTTACAGTAAGAGACATCTAAATTAACATTTGTGATATAGGAAGTCTAGTGGTGCCAGCGAGAAATATCGTTTTGATTTTCAGTCGTATACAAAATACCGTATGCGTGAAAATGTTTGCACCATTGAGCAATGTCAAAATTTAAAAAATTTCTATAATTTTCGTTTTCGATTTTTTTTTTTTTTATTCATTCACAGAGGGGATGTTTCTCAGAGTCTTAAACTATGTCAATCATCGATCGAGTTTCCACTTGCTGCAATTACGGCCTCCACACGCTACCGGAATGCACGGCAGGTTCTAATAATGTAGTCTGGATCCATTTCTCTCCAGGTACGGGTCAATGTTTGTCTGACTCGGGTGGCGTTTAGAACAGGCCTTGGCCTTGATGACGTGCCATATTGAGTAATCCAGCGGATTGAGATTGGGGCTGGATGGTGGCCACATATCCTTCGCCCAGAACGGAAGATGTTCCTGCAACCACTTCTGAGTGCGGTTCGAGGTGTGGCACGGAGCCCCATCTTGTTGAAATACAACATTTGGCTTCGGACCGTACTGTTCTTTGATCCACGGAAGAACATACTTACTTAAAATTCCGATGTAGACCTCCGTGTTGACCTTGTCGCCTTCTGGAATGAACACCGGGTCCATTTTTTTAACATCGGAAAAATAATGTTAAAATTTACTATCAATATTTTATTATGTTATTGGTAAGCTGTGCACTTCAACAAGTTAATAACTTATTCTGGCATCAAAGCATTATTTTCCATTGTTGTGATATAGAGGTAAATTAGCAAAATAATACTTAACTGTTGATGTTATGTTCCTCAATTTTAATACTAAAACTTGCTATTGATTTGATGTCATCGTTCACTCGGGTATCAGGTAGGAGAAAATTTCGTCTGTCTGATGGTAGCGTTAACATGCTTGAATGAGCTATCAGTTACGCCAAATTGTCAATCAAATGCATTGTTTACAAAAACCGATACGTCCCTTCGAAAGGGTAATCGAGATTTAGTGTTCATGATTAGTAAACATTTTCCGCAGCTTGTGTAACATTTTCTCTAGTAAGTGAGGGGTTATAATTGAACAAAATGGGTCGAAGGGTCTCAGAATTTAATGATTTTTTTTTTCCAAAGATAAGAGTTATCCAAAGATAAGAGTTTTTCGGATTTTCCGAAGTATCACGTAATTTGAAAATTCATAACTCATGAACCAAGCATCGTAGAATGAACGTTGTGTAGTGAAATGGTAAGTTATCGTTTTTATGTTTGTTTTATGACTTACTTAGAATGACGCCTAATAGCCATTAGTTTTTCGGTAAATATTCAGAAAAGGTTACAGATATCACTTTACAGTGATGAATTCTGAACGGTACGGGTGCAAAGTGCAAGCTGATCTCATCAAAACAAGATCCTAATCGTAGCAGTCTTTGATCAATGTTTAAAAATTGTGCACAGCGCATGAACCTGATGATCTATCATTTACTTTGAATGGAGTTCACAATCCTCTGCATCAAGTCCCAGCCAGTCTTGTAAGTGGTCACCGTAGTCGACTGTGATAATTGACTGCCCTTTTCTATTCAGTATTCAGTATTCTACTGGATATATCTGGCATCACTTAAAGCCAGTTCGCAAACCTTATCACATCGTTTTTCTGTCATCTTAAAACCAAACGATAAGTCTCGTCTGCTATCTTGCTCTTGCCAATGTGACATAAAGAAAATCTTCTGAAAACCCCACTGGTGTGAAAAGTATGGCTAGCTGCTTTTGGTGTGTGCCAGAGAAGATGAGAAGAGTCAGCGGAGCTCCATCCAAAGTCAAAATTACTCGGACAGCTAGAAGAGTCGGTCGGTCGGTGTGCTTGAAAAAAAAATGCTCAGTAATTCGGTGGCGGTGCGTTTGCGTTTTTGATTAGTCCAAAATTGGTTACGAAAACGGTGAAAATTTTTCGTGAAGTCCGTAAAGTGCGTCTCTCTGTTCCGCGGATGGTGTTAGAAAATGAAAAGCATCGGAAGCAGCAGCGACAGCAGCACAACCATCAGTGGAAGTAGGATCTCGTCGTCATCATCATCGTCATTACAGCAGCCCTCGGCGGAAAGCCAGAAACTAGCAACAGCAGCAACAACTACTACTACTACTACTACAAGAAGTCAGATTCAGAAGATCATTCATTATGGAGGAAAAGAAGGTCGCTGCTCATCATCGCCTAGCTACCAGTGGCAGCCGAAGCAGAAACATCCATCGGATCTCTGCCAACAGCTTCAGCAGCCACAGCAGCAGCAGCTTGCCGTGTTCTGAATGATGATGCTTTGATTGTGACAGATCGAACTCCACGCAATCATTTTTTTTCTACTTTGAGAATTGTAAACAAAATGTGAACTGATAGAACAAACTATCTTCTCTTGTTGGATGAATGCAGTTAAAGGAAATTTCGGATGGAATAATCATAACCTATTGTAGAATATTTGGAGATTTCGATAGCCTGCTTGAAACGGCAGCAGGTTAAAAAAAAGTTATTTGTTAAATTTAGTAGAAATAAGTGAGACAGGAAGATTTTAAACGTTCAGATTGTCGGAATATTTTTTTAAATCAAGAGTGATAGGCCAGAGTGTGTGTAAATAGTGATTTGCGGAAGAAGATAATTCTGTCGTTTCATTTGTATACGACAACACAAATACGCTAGTGTACCACCAGTGAGAAGAATACAATCGTACTCGCCCAAGATTTCAGCCGCGACCTCGAGCGAAGAAAAGCGAGCAAAAGAAACACAAATCGTCAATCAAACGGGAAGCAAAACAAATCATTGAGCCAATTCGGATTTGTACCGAGTGACTATTGCAGCATCAGCAGTAGCACCACGAATGAGATTGTTGCAATTACGACCATGGGCAATTGCATCGGAATTAATCGCAGCGATCCGGAAACCCTCGATACCGGATCCGCCAACGTAACCCGGCCAGTGACGGGTAAGTGTTGCGTTGTTTTTTTTTTGTCGTTTATATATCTGCGTCATCCTCGGGTACAGATCACAGAGGAACGCTGGTAAACAGATGGGGAAGGAAAGGGGGTTTTGAATGCCTAATCTATTGGGGGGATACGCAACGGCAGGGTGTGAATGTATGTGATAGAAAACTTGCAGCAGCCACTCGCATTCCGGTGTGTGTGGACGACCTTCAAACACCTTGTTTTACCGCCGCCGCCGTTTGTGTCATCGGGTACGTACTCTGTCATGCCTGAACGCGAGTTGCGCGAGATAGATGTACCGAAATATTATCACCATTTGATTGATAGCGATAGTTATTGTTATGGCTATTGGCAGTTCAGTTGCATTTCGCGAACGGGTTACACCCCTGAGTTGATGTTTGCAACGGATTTTCCCTGTTTGCCAGAACACCGATTGGTGTAGGATCCTTTGAAATTAAATTGTCGTTCTATACGGATTAAAGACGATTCAATTTAGCTCAGTGATTTTGTAGGTCTCCAAAATACGTATCTGTAGAAGAGTAGCTAAAGACGACTGTCTTTGATAGTGGTTGAAATAGAACTTCGCTGCAGCAGTCCTCCTGTAGCGGTTTGGTTAATCCGTCAGCAATCTGCTCCCCAATCTGCTGCCAACGTAAACCAGTTTCATCATACCACGATCCAAAGCGTCCCTGATGTGATGTCGTATGTCGATATGTTTCCATGCGACCACGACTCTTGGCAATTACGATGCAGCTTTGGTTGTCGCAGCGAATTTCCATTTCTCCTTTCGTTGTAAGATAGTCCTCGCCACCAGGATGCTTCCTGAACCGCAACAGAAATAGACATGCCAATAGTGCCACAGTGGGTTGCTTCTTGAATGACCATGAAATAGCTCCTCCTTGCGCCATGGTTGATTTCGGATGCCCAATTCGCGTCGCAATAGTCGACTATGCATGTTTGTTGTAGACCAACTTCAAAGTTTGAGGTTGCGCGTAGGTAACGCAGGACATGCTTCGCCGCATTCCAGTGCTTGACACCTGGATTGTTATTGAACCAACTGAGGGTGTTCACAGCGATCGGTATGTCTGGTCGACTGCTTTACGCCAAATACATAAGACACCCAACGGCTTCCTCATACGGAACATCCTTCATAGCAGCAGATTCCTTGTCATCCTTTGGGCTCGCATCGTTGGAAAGTTGCTCGCATCCTTGGAAAGTTGCTCGCTAGTGTTCATCGGTACCTTCACTGGTTTGCACCGAGCCATGTTGAACCGCTTCAAGATGGTTTTGATGTAAGCCTCTTGATCCAAAGTGATGCTGTCAGTTGTTCTGCCGATCCGGATACCAAGGCAGTGTTTCGTAGGTCCCAGATCTTTCATCCGGAACCGTTGTTTAGCTGTTGCTTCAGCTTGGTTTTCCACGCCTCGTCGTTGCAGAATATCATAAAATCGTCCACACAAATAGCGACAATAAGAACGTTACCATTTCTAATGCAGATGTAAACGCATGGATCGTATATTGCGTTGATACCAGGCCAAATCGTCGCAGAGCCGCATGCAGTTTGTGGTTCCAAACTCGGGTGAACTGCTTCAAGCCGTACAACTCCTTGTTCAGCTTGTACACCTCAGTCTGCCTTCTGCAGTCAACAAACCTTGGGGGTTGTTCCATGTAAATTTCTTCGTCGAGGTCACCTTGCAGGAAAGCCCTCACTGCATCCATCTGGTCGAATATGAGGTCGTGCTTGACAGCCAGGGCGAAAAGGTATCGCAGCGAACTATAGCGAACAACGGGAGCATACGTTTCATCGTAATCTACTCACTTTCGCTGTTAGTAGTCTTTGATGACCAAACGTGCCTTGTGCCGTTGAACCTTCGTTGTGTAGACCCATTTGCCTTCCGTCCTTTCGGTGAGGGTCCAGGTGTTGTTGCGGCAAACTCCTTTTGCATGGCACGCTTCCACGCGTTGCTATCACTCCGAGCCAGTGCTTCTTGATGTGAAACGGGGTCATCACCGGGTTCGTCATCCATGCCAAATGCTACAGCCACGAGACCGTCGTTGTCGCTTGGTTCACCACCAGTATTATCGTCATCTGGGAAACAATGGAAGTCGCTCGAATCATCATCGGATATTGGCTGTGAAAGTGAGATACCAGGAAAGCCAGTACTAGCAACATGAATATCTTTGTACTTGCCTGGAAGAACGTGCTCCCGTCCGCTGCACCTCAACACCTTTGACCGAGGGGATTCTGAAGTTTGTCGCAGAAAAATATGGTCTCGAATTGGTTCAATCGGAAATGCCGACTCGAATATGGTTTCCATCGGTTCCTCAACTTCCAATTTGACAAATGTTGGTGTCAACACCGCAGGGCAGCAAACCCAACACAGCGGTGTGCGTAGCTGCGGTTGGCGTACCTAATGTTATTGCCGTTTCGTACCGTTGTCAGAAGTGAAGAAAGGGAAGAGAAAAACAAAACCAAAACAAACCAAACACAATTTATAAATGGATATTGTTAGCAGATAGAAATGTCTAGCAGATAGAGTGAAATTATAGAGTAATTCAAGGAATATTTCGGATAATAAAGTTCGTCTATACTGTGCATCTGGTTTCCCTTCGGCGACCTGAACATAGAAGGAAATTATAATTTTCTTTTGTTGAAGCTGATTAAATTGGAAAGCTAGCGACGATTTGAACGGGAAAATTCGTGGTAATTAGAAGGAAGAGCTAGAACGAGGAAACGGTTGTGTAGCGCACAAAAGCAGAATTAGATCACTTCTTGTAAGTTCTGAATCAAATTTATCGAATTTAATTTTCTAATAAAATCATAATATTACAGTTTGAGCTGCCACAAAAAAGAGGCTGCTACAAAAATTTTGGTTTGGTATCCAAACATTCTCAAAAAGAAGTGTACGAGAATCGGATAAACCTCAAAGCGCTATGGCCAATCCTGCTCCACCCGTTCTGAACCTCACGGAGACTCCTTGTGCGTCGTGCGATGAAGTTTCGACCGAAAATGAGGAGATGATCGGTTGTGATGGTTGCCAACATTGGTACCATATCCGTTGCGTAGGGATTACTGATGCGAAGAAGGAAGGTACGTGGTACTGTACCGAAGAACCATGTCAACGGATCAAGAAGAAGAAGAGTCGCAGCAAGAAAAATAACGATGAATCGGATCGCTCCAGCGTCAAATCCGACCGTGCGCTCGCTCTGGAGCATAAATTGAATGCGATGGAGGAGAAACAAAAACGGATGGAGCAAGAGCTGGAGATGGAGATGAAGATTAAAAAGAAAGAGATGGAGTTCAAGCGATCCATTGAGATGAAGCGGATGCTGTTGGAGAAGCAGTTACGCGAAGAGGAAGAAGAAGAAGAAGAAGAAGAAGAAAAGCTGTTCCAGGAGAAGATATTGAAGCAGCGAAAAGAGCAGTTGAACCAGATGAAAGCTAGGCAGCAGTCGTTCGCGAACGAAATGTAGGAACTGGATGAAGCTATGCCGGAGACGAAGAACACCGAAAAGAAGAGAGCAACAAAGGACGTCGATGCCGGCGAAGGTACTTCAGGAGTAAAGCCAAAACTGCGCCATTCGAAGATCGGAAAATTGACGGAGCAGAATTTGAAGAAGTTGAGAGCTGCTCAATACAAAAATTCGGATGAAGACGATGAAGATGAGACAGCTGATGAAATGGAGGATGATCAAACCGAATTCAGCGAAGAATCCTATGGTGTTTCGAAGAAAAGTGTAGCTACGAAGAACAGCAAGTCAACGAAAAAGTCCGGTAGATTGAGCCAACACGGGCTGGGGCAGGCACGATCCGGGCCGACCAAAATTCAACTGGCAGTGAGATGTGGCGTAAGTAAAAGACTACCCACATTCTCTGGAAAGCCGGAAGAATGGCCGTTGTTCTACGGAATGTACCAAGCATCGAATGAAGCCTGTATTTACTCGGACATTGAAAACCTGGTGCAGCTGCAAGAATGCCTGAAGGGTCTGGCTCTGGAGATGGTGCGTGGACAACTTCTTCTGCCGAAATAGATTCCGAAGGTTATTGAAAAACTTCGCCAGCTATACGGCCGCCCGGAACAGCTACTGCAGAGTCATTTGGAGAAGGTCCATAAGCTGGAACCACCGAAAGTGGGTAAGCTGGCCAGTTTCATTCCGTTCGGCACGGCAGTCGAGCAGCTATGCGAACACTTGGAGGCGGCGGAACTCAAACAGCACCTGATAAATCCGCTGCTAATTCAAGATCTGGTTGAAAAGCTCCCAGATAACGACAAGCGCGAGTGGGTGCGCTTCAAGCGCGGGAAAAAGAAAGTAACCCTAAGGACCTTCACCGATTTCCTCTCCGAAATAGTCTCGGAGGCCTGCGAAGCGAACGTCAGCCGGATTACAAGTCAACCGGAAGGTTTAGCAGCGACAACCGTTCGGGGAATGCCCAAAGCAAAGCGAAGGAGAAGGGTGCGGTGTTCAACCACAGCGAAGCTGAGAATCGTCAATCCGGCGTTGGAGAATGAAGGAATCTAAAGCCGTGCAGGGCGTGTCAGCGCACAGACCATCAGTTGCGGTACTGCCAAGATTTCAAGAACCTGTCGTACGCGGACCGGATGAAGGTTGTGGATCGCTGGAAGCTGTGCCACGTGTGTCTGAACGAACACGGTTCGCCGCAGTGTAAATTCAAGCTGCGATGCAACGTTGGAGAATGCAGGCAAGCTCACAATTATCTTCTGCATCCGATCGCTGGTGCAATTGGTACCACAGCGCACATTCGGACAAACAACGTCACTTTGTTCCGAATGATACCGATTAGTCTCCACTGCGGAGAAATATCCATCACTGTGTTGGCTTTCCTGGATGAAGGTGCATCGGTGACTCTGGTGGAAAGAAACCTGGCGGATCGCTTGGGAGCAGTCGGAGTCCACGAGAAACTCACCATAAAGTGGACGGCCGACATTGCTAGAGTGGAGAAGGAGTCGAAGCGGATGAATTTGTGGGTCTCGGCTGTTGA